TAGGAGCTGCAGGTATTTAATTTAATAGTTATTTATAATATATATTTTGTATTAAATTATAGATCTGTTTATAGAGTAGGTTCGAGATAAATCCAAATCTTGGATATTAGCTGGACTTTCTTTAGCATTTACTAAAATGGACATTGACATTTGGAATCAAACTTCTACTAATACTAATACAAATGAATCAGCACATGCAAATATCAATCAAGATGGACATTCTTTATCTCTTTTAGCAGCAATTTATCAGTTTGTAATTTTTAATATTTAATTAAAATTTATATAAAATATATTAATATTTATAATAATATAGAGGAAGTGATTTTGATCAACGACAATGGCATGCAGCGAAAACATATGAACAATATAATGTAAAGGATTCTTACAGAGATAAATCAGAATTAGCACGCTTAACACATAATGCCAAAAAAAGCCGTAAGTTTAATTTTTTAAAATTTTAATATTTATGTAAATTATATTTAATTAATATATATATATTTATTAGAAAAACGAAAAAAAAAAGAACCTCTAATAAAATCTGAAACACAAAAAAAGCGTAAAGGTCAAACATCAAATAAAAATAATAGTAATAATAATTTAGATTGTACATTTAAATTATCTACTACTATCCCTACGGCTCATGAACAACAAAATTATGCTGAATGGGAAGACAAAAAGATTAAAATACAACAAAAAAAATTAGAATTATTTAAAGAAGAAATTTATCTTCGTGAAAAATTACATAGTTTAAAAAAGTTAGATAGTGATAGTTAAATTCTAATTTTTATAAATAATATTTACACATTGCTAATGTCTTTTTATTTAAATTAATAAAAATTGCATTATTACTGCTATATACAAATTACTTCAATTAGCTATTATTGCTATATACAATTATTTCATTTTTTATTTTTATTTGTTTTTTTTTTTTATGAATTCATTTTATATCGAATGTGTTATATTATTACTACATATAAATTACTTTATTTTGTATTTTTTTATCTTATTTTTGTTCGATTTTTTTTTATATACTGTAATTTATAACTGATATCGATACTATTTAGTTGTTCATTAATGCTCTTAAATGCTTTTATATAGTATCGTGAACCTAGTTCACGATCATCTATTTTAATTCTTTTGTACTGTATAGTACGTATGAACGTCTAAATAATTTTATAATTGCGTACTGTACAGTACAAAAGAATTTTCGTACAGTACAAAATTTCCATACCCCGGCCTCCAAGTCCACCTTTAACAGTTACTATCATACCAACCAATATTAAAAGACCAGAGTATTTCAAATGACAAAGAACTTTCTTCTATAATATTAAGTGAAATTTAAGGTTTCGCATTAGCAAAATTCGAATCTAATTTTCAAAAAATTTTGAAAAGAGATGTTCTACTTTTGTTAATGATTCACAGCATGTGAATATGGTATTAGATATGATGGATTAAAGTAAAATTTGTATAATGTAAAATAAATTTTTGAGGTGCATTTTTAAAGTTAGGGGTTAGGCTTGGAGGTTAGTTTTAGAGTTTATAATAAACAAGTGGGTTTTAGAGGGTTAAATAGAAACCTAATCCAATTTTATTATAATCCATGATAGTTAATGAATTGATGAAACTTAACAAGTAAAATCATTTTTAATTAAGTCCTTGGATCTATTAATTTTTTTTATTATTCACTCTATAATTCTTTATATAAAACATTTGTAGGTTAAATGTGATTATATTCAATTGTATTTATTTTTTTTTCATAAAGTATCATTCAAAGATAAATTATTATAAATTAATTAAAATTATTGGTCTAATTGTCTTTAACAATTTGCTGAATATCATGCTAGACAATTTCTAAGCACTTGATTCATAGTTAGTGATGCCCAAATTTCTTCAGTATCATATGTATTTGTGAGTTGATAGCTGATAATGGCTCAGCTGTTTACAAGATAAAAAAATTTTTTATCAACTTTTTAAAATAAAAGTAGTCTATTTATTAATATTATTACAATGTAAATTTACAGATTTACAGTAGTATCTCGAATAACTTCATGTTATGAGTTGTCAAATCCAGATTGTACCTTATTTTCTCTAAAGGTTTGATTACTTATTTATTTATTTTTTTAGTACTTTACAAAAACAAGTATTCATTCATAGAGCCTCTTATTCATATTTGTTATTCAAATAATAGTCGTATTTGGCAAATATTCAAATAACAGTTTAAAATGTTTCAAATAATTATTCAGCGAATAATACGAATAAACAAATCTTATTCGAATAAGTGTACCTTATTCGAATAAGTGTAACTTATTCGAATAAGTGTAACTTATTTGAATAAGTGTAACTTATCATTATTCGAATAATATATAATTATTGCATGCGAAGCATGCAATAACTGTAGTATTTTATGGGCGATCCTGCTTGGTCAGTGATCCAGCCAGTACAGCTGGGTCACCCGAACAATTAGGAAGAGAACATAAAATATGTAAAGTATCATGTGTTTAAATTCTGGTTGGCTCTTTCAAGTGCTATAAAAGTATAATTTGCCGCGTAAGCAGCAGATCATACTTTTATAGCACTTGAAAAAGCCAACCAGAATTTAAACGAATGATACGGCAGTTATTGCTTGCGTAGCATGCAATAACGGATTTATCCAATGCTTTACAATGATCAGCAACTCTTTTTTTAATACTACAAAAGAAATTTGAGATGAACGAAACTTCAAAAGAATTTTAGGGCCAAAGGTTTTGTTCAAGAGAATTTTAGGACCATAGGTTTAATTTAAAGTTTTACATGATCCAAATTACAAAGTAAAGGTGGCAATTTGAAAAATGTTGGCTTCTACTATAACAAAGACATAGGCACAAATAAAGTTGAAGAAAAAGCATTTGAACAGTATTTGAAATCTACTGAACATCATAAAATTTAGAACTAAAATTAAAGATGTTTTCCAGCTCATTACAATTTGAAACAAAAGGTAACCTATTTACTGTAACGTTTCTTTTGGTCATACAATTTACTGTCTAATACAATTTTATTTCACCTAGTCTATTGCAATTTTGAATTCCAAGTCATTAATTTAGTGCATCAATCGATATCTGGTAATTAGACTATTTCATGTAACAATTGATTAATAGTACGATCATATATGAATTACTAATATAAATAAAATTTTTAAATAAACTCTAGTTTTTTCTCTCTTTGTCATGTCGAGATAGTATTAATATTGGAACTTAAAACAAAATAGTTTGTTAAAGATTAATAATATTCGCAATTTTTAAATATTTAAATATTTAATATTTAAATAAATATATTTTATTTAAAATTTGATAGACCAGTTCAAATCGTGGTGATTACTTACCAACTAATCAAGAGATCGAAAGTATAATTGAATCATCCATCCCTGAAAACTCTCACAAGGCTACTAAAAAATAGGTCAAGGCATTGAATCGATGGCGTGAAAAAGTTGGATATCACTATAGCATTGAAACAATCTCTAATAAAAATCAACTTGAAAAAGAAATGACTGAATTTTTTTGTAGTATGCGAAAGGTTCAAAATGGAAGTGACTATAGTCCATCTTCCTTAACTAATGCATATAATTGTTTAAGCAATTATATTTTTAAGCACCCAAACTGTTGTAATACATTTACTATTAATAACAAATATGATTTTTCTCTACTTTGGGAGGCTCTGAATGGAAAGATGAAGGCTTTAAAAAAGTCTGGAAAAGTAACTTAGCATCACGATCTGTTAACATCACAAGAATTGAAAATGATGTTTAATCATGAAGCACTGTCTATTAATATGGCTAAAGGCCTTCAATACCGGGTTTTCATGTGGTGTTGTCTATTGTTTGCACCTCGAGGTGGAGAACATGGACAAATAAAAGTAACACAGTTTGTTTTTCTTGATGATGGGGGACTTAGATTCAATAAATTTTCACAAAAAAATGACCCCGGAGGTATTGATGGAAACTTAGATTTGCTCACGATACCTGTACATGCAGACCCCAAAGGTTATTTGGGATCAATTCATGATATTAAACTTTATTTAAACAAAAGATCTGAAAATTGTAAATGCAAATTTCTTCATATTCAAATTAATAAAGACATTCGAGATATATGTTTTTTTATCTTCAAATTAATAGACATTTGAAATACTTTTTTTCAATATTTTACATTTATTAACTTATTAGAAATTAACAATTTTAAACAGGATATCAATAGGGGATTTGGTATACAAATGCGAAACTTGGATTGAATACATGCAATAACTTGATGAAAAGTATATGTAATGATGTAGGAATAAATATTGAGAACCATGATATTGTCAATCACTCAGAAAGAACTACCCTGATTATATTTTTATTTCGTTAAAGTGTTTTGATTGTTACTTTCATGTCAATTATGGGTCATAAGAGTGAATCTTCTTATAAGATTTACTCAAGACCAAGTGAACAACAAAAAAAAATGCGTTATCTATTTTAATTAATGCTGTAAATCTTCCTGAAGCTCAAGATTTATCTGTAAATGTTGTATTTTATTAATTTTATTTATTTAATAAATATTTAATAATATATTTAAAATTTTAAGAGCGATAACAACCATGATACTATTTATAATCACGATACTATCCACAACTATGATACTATTCATGACCATGACTCTGACACTATTCATGACCATGACTCTGACACTATTCAGAACCATGATACTATCGAAGAGAATACCGACCAAGACACTGCTGATGAAATTCAAATGAAGGTATATAGTACTGTTATTTTTAATTTTTTTATTTATAAACTACTTAATTTTATTTATTAGTTACCTAGTGGTGGTTCAGATTCACACACTAAAAAAAGAAGATCGGTTAATTCTGGGTTTCGAATACCTCTGAAAAATAATACAAAGTTGAACTTACCACTTCATATAAATGCGACAAAAAAAAACCTGACATTAGGTGGGCAACGGTCTCTATGACGTAAAAAATAGAGTTCACAAGATTCTCATGATAGTGCTGCAAAAACTGGGACTACAATTATTAATAATTACTATATCAATGCAGATCATATCACGATTAATAAATAAATACATGTGCAAAATACATAAAATACAGATACAATATGTGTAAATGCAAAAATTATATATGCAATATAACTATAAAATATAAGAAATATAGCTATAAAATATAAAAATAGCATAAAATTATCAATTTATTTTATAGGCTGATCATAGTAAAGCATTGGATAATAAAAAAATATTTAGTAAATATATCTTACCAAATTTAAACATGTTTGTAAACTTTCAAACTGAACCTAAACTGAACTCAGACATGCTTAAAAGTTTAATATTGAACTCAGACCAATTTAAATTTTTAAATTAAGTCCAGTTCAAGTTTAGTTCAAATTTGAGCCAAACTCAAATTTAACTCAAAGTTTGGTTTAATTAGTTTTAGAAATACTAATATACACTACATTAGTGTAACTGGAGTTACAAATATAAAACCTAATTTATTGATAATGATCTGTTACTATAACACAAGTATTTTTGTTCAAAATATTACTAGTAAAATTCAAACTCAATATCTTAGTTACAAGCTAGCATGAGATGACAATTTCACCACTACATTAAGTCACTACACTCTTTATAAAATATTTTTATTATTTTGATATACTATAAAAATATTGCAATTTTTTTTTTTATTAGCCATTTTTCTGGTTTTATATTCTAATATTTTTTTATTAAGTCTACATGGCAAGTTGATATATTTTTATAAATATATAGTCTTAAACTATCATATGTGATTTAAATTGTAGTAAAGCTTTACAATATAAATTTCTTATATGATTATATCAAATAAGTGAATATTTATAATAAACAGTGTATTAGTAAACTTTATTCATTCAAAATTTATAAAAGTGCAATTTATAAAAAAAAATAAAATAAAATAAAAATTAAAACCTTTATTATTAGTTAACCAACTGAAAAATTTAACTTAATAATAGATATTATACAAAAATTAGTATTTAACAAGGAATTTCTAGAAATACTATTTTTGATAGCAGTTTGTAAGAATAAGAAACTCAAAGAATTTTGAAAGATTTCTGTATCATGAATGATCATCTAATAATCACAATAATTTAAATATGCAGTAAATTTAAATCGTGTTCTTTTTCTAAAAGATTTATTAGTTTTGGCTTGAATAACCTGTCTAAAATGGTTTAGTTAATTACTTATATTTAGTGCTCTGAAAGGGGTCAAAAAACCTGGGTACTCGACTCCAGAGCATAAAACCCGAAAATTCATTACACGACCCAATCACTGGTAATCAATAGTAAAAGTATAATATGCATGAAAAGTATGTCAGAATCAGCGATAGTTAAATATCGTATGATTAGTT